CGGGAGCAGGCTCTACAGCTCTACCGTGCTACTGCTCATCAAGCAGGTCAGTAATTGCGCTTGTTAGGACAGAAGCAGGGCTGGGGAGGGCGCTCTGACCAGCCACCAGAGGTCATTTGCAGCTTCATTTCTCTGGGCTAATTGGTCTGAGGCGCTTAGGTTTTTAGGGATTTGAATTATAGAATTGGGACAAGTGGCAAATACAGTCCACGTGATCACACCCTGAACAGCGCAGCAGACTGAACCAACCTTGGAACCATTAACAAGGCCGACTCAAGAAATTAGCCATCAATTCAGCCTAACAGACATTATCTGAAAGTGATTAATAAGGCTCAGCCCTTTACAACTCCAGTGGGAGGACACATCTGTTGCCTACATTGTAGGCTTATTAGAACTGAGAACTCTTCGTTATGCAGAAACAGATCTGTTAGCAAAATACCACTAGACCCAAATCTATGACATACATCACCAGGACCAGTGTTCTTAGAGATCCGTTGTCAAATATTCCTTGAACATCACTTAAATCTTGAGAATATTGAGCAAGAAGGGAGTTTTAAATCTGGTTACATTCCTGCTCCCCCAGCACATAGTAGACAAAAACCTTCCAGAGAGGAAAGCTCTTGGAATATCCTCCACAGGGGTTTAAGGCTCCATGATTACCGTGCCTTAATTTCCTCTCTTAGGAAAACGGGGGGTTGACAGAGACTACTTACTGCTGATTGTTAGCAAGCTATGCTTTTAAAAAGTCTCAGTGTCTTCCACCAAGAGAGGCTGTGAAGGTCACCGAGGGGCAAAAACTAGCCTCTGCATACACCTTGTTTAGAAATCCTGTGTCCTTGTTTTGATATGTCTCCATATATAAGTGGAAAGAAGCTTATCCCTTTGAAACTCATAAAAGGCAAACACTATAGGCCCATGGAGTTACCACAATTTCTTCCTCAATAAAAGTAAAAATCACAACAACAACAACAAAATAGACTACTACACTTCTTCTTTGGAAAAGTCACCTAATTTTCCTCTGTAGGAACTCCCAGAAATTTTGAGGCAACACCCACCGGGAGCCAGCGGCCAATGTCTCCTGTGTGAAGCCAACCATCCTTGTCCAAGGCTTCCTCTGTCTTCTCAGGGTCCTTCAGGTATCCCTTGAACACATTGGTGCCCTTGATGCAGATCTGCACATAAGATGGTACAAGGTGGTGACAATAGCAAAGGCTGCTGCAAAACACCTACTTTCCTACCACCTTGAATCATTTGATGCTTTCCACTAATGTATGAAGAGCACCAGATTTTAATCCCCATTGTGGGGACTGGAAAGTTAGGCTCAGAGACACTGAATTCCTTGCTAAAATTCTGAATAGAATCAAACACAAACCTGTTCACAATTGTGTGCTTTTTCTGATGCAAACGTCCCCACTATGATTGTCTGAAAATGACTGCCCAGCACAGCCTACCCACCTGTCCTTCGTTGTTCACTGCAAAGTAGTTCATATCAGCCACATCTTCCAGCTTCACATGATTGCAAGCGATGGGGACTCCAACGTGGCCTAAAACACACCGTACTGAATCAGCCAGGGTACCGTGAAACGGTGATAATCCCAGCCATATTTCAGAGAGATTTATGGATTGACTCTAAAGGAACAAAACTGAAAAGTCATCTGGCACCAGTGCTGGAGAGCCAAGATGGGAAGACCCGGACCAAAGCTTAGGTTTGGCATCTGCCACATTCATCCACAGCACTGAGGTTATCTAAACGCCTGCGTCCTAGTTCATCCAGAACTCCTCCCAACCACTGAACCTCCTGCACAGTTGACAAAGAACCTACCTGATTTCCAGTCCCCAGGTGATGTAATTGTACAGCCAGCAGTGCATTCTGTTTGACCGTAAGCTTCATATACCTGCGCAAACCAAAGAAGGGCTTTGAGACTTACTCAAGATAAAGCAGGAGCCGGCCGTGCCCTATGGCAAGACATGAGGAAAGCAAGGTCTCTGAGAGTTGGAGGACACTTAGTGTCCTAATACCTTGAATTTATGCCTGAGCTGCTAAATCTTTACAACTGTGGATTCACTCAAAAACCAAAAGGGTCCAGAAATAGACCAAAGTATGGAAACATACTATACTTTGGGAAATGTGGCATTTCAGGCTGATGGAAAAAAGCAAGCTATTCATTGAGTGATGGGCAACCCAATGGCAATCAGACTTGAACCAAGGCAATGGAGTGCTACTGAAGGAGCTGAAGAAAGTGAGTAGCATTTTTTAAGGGAAATAGCTATGGTTTGGAACAGGGGTTGGCAAACTTTTTGTATATAGAACCAGATAGTGAATATTCTTGACTTTGTGAGCCACTTGGTCTGTATTTCAACGACTTAACTCTGCCAGTGTAGCACCAAAGCAGCAGTAGACGATATGTAAATAAATGGCTATGGATGTGTTCCACTGAAATTTTACTTATAAATACAGGCAACGGGCCAGATTTGGCCTGTGCTGCAGTTTGCCCGCTCCTGGTATAAAGGATAATCTTGACTGGAGAGGGGATGTGGGGACGTAAGTGCATGGGCTGCAGTGGGGCTATGGCCTGTCATAGGCAGAGCTGGTGGAGAAGGAGAGGAAGGGGTGTGGCAATAGGACCTTCTGACCTATTGGTTTTAGGGAAAGGAAGGTATTAAGACCGGCCAGGAGGATGCTAGTTTGAAAGACCAGAGGAACTCTGACCTTGGCATCAATTCAGAACCTTTTTTCTTTTAACATCTTTATTGGAGTATAATTGCTTTCCAATGGTGTGTTAGTTTCTCTGTATAACAAAGTGAATAAGCTATATGTATACATATATCCCCATATCCTCTCCCTCTTACATCTCCCTCCCATCCTTCCTATCCCACCCCTCTAGGTGGTCACAGAGCACCGAGCTGATCTCCCTGTGCGATGCAGCTGCTTCCCACTAGCTATCTATTTTACATTTGGTAGTGTATATATGTCCATGCCACTCTCTCACTTCATCCCAGCTTACCCTTCCCCCTCCCCGTGTCCTCAAGTCCTTTCTCTACGTCTGCGTCTTTATTCCTGTCCTTCCCCCCTAGGTTCATCAGAACCCTTTTTTTTTTTTAGATTCCATATACATGTGTTAGCATACAGTATTTGTTTTTCTCTTTTAGGCCGTTGTTTCATTCATGTTGTGCATGTTGGCCGAATGAATGAACTACTTAGCCGTTTGTGGAAAAACAAATATGAGAGTGTATCTGTACTCAAGAGTGTATCTGTACTCAAAACAAATATGAGAGTGTATCTGTACTCAATTTACTAAATTCCAGGTGGAGCAGAGACTTACTTGGAAAAAAGTAAGACCGTAAGGCTACCAGAAAATCTGGACGAAAACAGATTTATGCAATATTGAGGGTTAGGAGGCCTCTCTAAACAATTACAGAGCCACATAGAAAAGGTGACTGACTACATACACATTTGAAACTTTTATATAGCAATACATAGTACAAAAAGGTGAGACTAGGAAAAATATTTCTAACACAACAAAGATTGATTTTATGACCATATGAAGAACTCCTAGGAAGCAAGGTGAAAGAGAACCAAATTGTCCTTTGCTCATTTTTCTATAAGTAAGTAATCGAGTAATTCATGAAAGAAATACAAGTGCCCGTAAGCAGTAGAAAAGATGTTTAGTGTTAATAAAAGAAACAAAGTTGCAATAAGATTTTTCACGTATCTCGTCGGCTAAGATTTAAGTGACTGAAAAAGCACTAGCAAGAATATGGGGATATCAGGACTTGCGCATTATTTGCATTAATGCATAAAAAAGACAAGACCTTTCTGGAGGGAAGTGTGATAATCTGCATTAACATGTAAAAAACCCATATACTTTGACCCAATAATCCCCACTCGTAAGGATTTATCCTAAATTGATAACTGCATAAATATACACAAGTATCCTTATCACTTGATTATAATAACAAAAAAAAAAGTGGTAAACAACTCTAGTGTCCATCAATAGGAGACTACTGATTTGGGTGTGTTCAATAAACTATTACAAAGCCATTAAAATGATGTTTATTTGACAAGGAGCAATGTTAATGGGCACTGTTTAATAAGTATTTTAGAAAACTGATGCTGTTTTTTTAAAGGTTATACTCCATTTATAGTTATAAAATATTGGATATATTCCCCGTGTTGTACAATATATCCTTGCAGCTTACCTTATACCTAATAGTTTGTACCTCTTGCTCCCCTACCCCTATCTTGCCCCTCCCCCTCTCCCCACTGGTAACCACTAGTTTGTTCTCTATATCTGTGAGTCTGCTTCTTTTTTTGTTATATTGACTGGTTTGTTGTATTTTTTCAGATTCCACATGTAAGGGATATCACACAGTATTTGTGTTTCTCTGTCTGATTTATTTCACTTAGCATAATGCCCTCCAAGTCCATTCATGTTGCTGCAAATGGCAAAATTTTGTTAGTACTGATGCCATTTGTGTAAAGGTTTCTGTACACAGGTGCATTAAGAAGTGACTGGAAGGGTATTTTCTCTTGATTTTGAGATTTTGGCTGACTTTCTCTGTGGTACTTTTCGTCTGTGTTTTCATTTTTATTTAAATAGTGAGCTTTATTTGTGCAAAAGTGAAATAAGCTATCATCAAAAAAAAGGTGCTTGGCTTACCGGACATCCCATTGCTGCCCGGAGGAACGTCAAGACAGGAGAGGAGATGGGGGCAGCTCCGGTGACCATGAAGCGAACCTTCCCGCCCAGGCTTTCCTGTTTAATAGACACAAAAGACCTGCTGAAGACTATTCCCTTTGCTTCAGTTTCCTGTGTTGCAAAATGGGTAGAACAGCCTACCTACCTGGTGTTGTCATGAGAATTAAACTCATTAATTTACACAGCACTTAGAATAGGGTCCAGCATTGTAGAAAAGAACTTAAAATGTTAGCTATTACTGTCACCACCATCCATAGCTGGGACCAGACCTGCAATTTTTTTTTTTTTTGATTTCCTCAGATAATTTGTATTCTTGGGCCCTTCAAATTACCTACAACCTCAACAGACCACCTAAGAGAATGAACGTGCTAGAACAAGAAAAATCCACTTTCTGCTTTTTGACCAAATCCCTTTAGTGACAAAGTTGTCCAAGAGAGATCTCAAAAGGTGAGTGAACACAGAAAGTGCAAAAGCCTCTCCAGTTAAAGAGATGCTTGACCATCAAAGGAAAAGCAAAGTGTGCTGAGTCAGTGGGCAGCCCAGATACTTACCTGGCTCCATCCATAATCTACCCAACGTACCTGGATCTTTGCAAAGACGAGCTTGTCCCAGACACTGTTGCGTCTGATGATACCCTTTTTCACTTCACTGAATTTACAGGTGACAGCCAAGTTCAACAAGAACTTCTTCAAGGGTGTCTTGGCTTCATTTTGTACCTGCAGAGTGACAGCTCCTCTTAGTTGGAAACCTATTGGAGATACTCACCAAGGCCATTCATCAGTGAGCAAGAGATAGTGCCTCCTAGCTTCATAAGGAAGAGGCTCTTATTCATGCACTGGTGTGCTGAATAATGATGAGCCCACACTAAGAAAGAAGTGAACTTAGTACATACACACAGAGCTCCAGCTCCTCCAAATTCCTTGTCCTTAGCAAACAACCTTGACAACTCAGATAGCATGTCCTCAAAAGGTAGTCAGCATCTATCTACACTAAAGTTACCTGGGAGTACTGATTAAACAGCTGATTGGGTACCACTGTTAGGACTTTTGATTCAGTATCATATGTATGTATGTAATGTCATAACATTACAAAGAAAACATCCCACTGGCCATTTTTGAAGATCACTGGGGTACCAGTTCATTATTTTGAAGACTGATAAAGGAAAAAATCAAATAATTTTCATGCCTTTATGAAAGAATCTCAGCTAATGAAGGCAAGAGAAATGCTTGGATTAGAAAAATCACCATTTTGCCAAGCTTAATGAAAAACAGAGCAGTGATCAATGACAGCTAAAACTGTTATGTGGCAGTGGGATTCTGGCCCGACTCCTTAGTAGATCTGACCCTGGACAAGTTATTTAACCTCCAAGGTTCAGTCTCCTCATCTGTAAGTTAGGGATTATAAGTGTTGGCATGATTTCCTGGGCTTTGTAGAAATTAAATGATGGAACGCATATGAAATATTTACTGTGGGGCCCGGCACCTCAGCAAGAAGCACACTAAACCAGTAAGTGTTATGAAACCAGAGTAACAATTTACCAGTAAGTCAGCTGAATTTTGAGGGGCTCCCCAACTCTCTGAATTAATCTCTTTCTCCAGATCACATCCAAGTAATCTCATCCAGAGGAAAGGGAGTTTCATCTGTTATGGTCTTTCATGGCTGCACTTGTATGTGTGGCTATAAGTGGATGCTGGTAGGGGTTGGGGGTAGAAGTGGAGCACGTTTCTTAGTAACATAGAGTTCCTAAGAGCTTTAGTCAGGCCTAAGCCCCAGGCAGCTCCGGCAGCTCAGGGCCAGCCCAACAGAAACAAGGTTAGCACCTTATCATAGACCCTGTTAAGGAGTCGGGGAACCGCAGGAAAGACTGTGGGCTTCAGGGTCTTCATGTCATCAGGCAGCAGCCGAATATCTCCTTGGAAGAATCCAACTCTGGCTCCACAAGAGTACACAACAGCCTAAAAACAAAACCAAAGAGCAGAGCTCAGAGCCAAAGGACCACTTTGGGTGGGGTCTGTATGGGACAGAATTGAGGTCCATGGGCACTTTTCTCTGGACAGGACACCCGACCCCTGAAGTTTCATGTACCCAGAACTCTGAGACCCTACCCCCTAGGCAAGATGGAAACTCACTTCTGCTGAGGTGGCGGGACAGGTAAGACAGATTCTGAGACTGAAGGCCCAGCCCTACTCTGCCCACAGCTCTGGGTGAGGGTCTAAGGCATCATCCTTTGTAAGAGACCATTCGTTATGTAGCACTAAGAAAAAACACTGCCACTCAAACTAGAACACGCCTACAATTGTAAGACCATCTCAGTTTCAGAAATGGTAAAATGTGAAAAAATATGCTTATTAGAATTGATATTTTATTAATCAGATATCAACACTTTAGCCCAAGGAACTGAATCTTCCATTTTGGCATTTCATGCATCAACAGATAAGCTGGTTGAAGAGGTATTTAAGCAGGGATCAGAGAGAGGATTTTCCACCCCTAATAACACCTGTGTTTTTGCTTTCGGTTCTCAAATCAGCCTCAGAGTAGCCTAAAAGCTTGGCGTCCACTCACAGAAGGCCAGCTCTCCCCCCAGTTGCTGCACAGTCCTCAACAGCTCCACTCTGGACACCTTACCTGGATCAAAGGCTCCTTCTCCACCCCTCTGTGGGGAACTCCTTTTCTCTAACCCTAGGTCTTTTCAAAAATTCTAACCCAAATAAAAGAAAAAAGAAAAAGCAATGCCTCGTATCCCTGCTCAGAATTGAGGGTAGATAGTAAGTAAGCTCCCGGCTATGAGCTCCCTGGACTTGCAGGCACCCTGTGTAAAGGCAGGAGGAAGCATTTCCTCCGTGGGACACACAGACTCAACAGAGGAAGGCTCTGCTGCAGGTTAGGGGTGATGCCAAGATTAGGACTCAGCCATGCCAACTCCCTGCCCATGTCCTTCACATTAGAGAAAAGATTGTAAATGTTGCAGAGCTGCCTTTGGAATAAACGTGGGACTAGCAAGTCAGGACCCTCTTTTCACATACCTGCTAGGAATATAGGATCCTTACCTGTACAACCCTCTCAAACATATGAGCCAAGGGGAGGTAGGATATGGTCACGTCCTCAGAACTGGGCTCAAAAGTATGCTATAGATCAGGAAATGGAAAGGAGACAACAGTGGATTAATGCCAACTTTCTCTTCCAAAGAAGATTTAAACACTTCTTCTTTCTAGGACTGCTGCATACAGTTGTACAGGTGTGCACTGTGCCCTAAGGGGTGCCCTAACTGCACTGAGTGCAGAGATCTGCAGTGACCCTAAAAGAGCAAAACTCTAGACAAAGATGCACCAGTATTTGTCCACACTCAGGCCTTCAACCTGTTTCTTCCCCCTCTGCCTCCTCTAACTTTAAAATCTTATGACAGATTCCCATTTTAACGAGGGCCTCCTTTTCAATTGACCACTGACCTCCACACATTTGAGAAAAGCAGCAGCATTTGAAACGATATTTTCATGGGTTAACATGGCTCCTTTGGGGTCACCTGTAGGAAACAAGAGGTGGAAAGATCTGTTAAATGGCTAATAGGTAGGCTTTGGCATTGAAATGAGGAGCTACATTCGATTGGTTCTGTTCCAGGGAGCTGAGAGCTTCTCCTGTCACTGTGTTTTTTTTATGAACAGTGTATGACTCTGCTTATGAATGATTGATCCCTCCACAGATTCTACTTCTGACAGCAGCCTTAGCCTTGTGCTACCACACAGGGCATAGCCACAGTCACAGACAGCAACACAGTCAAAAAGAAAATCCCAAGTAACCCGCCCCCCTCCCTGTGCTGTTTTCATGTTGAAGACTTCAGATCTAACAATATTACCTAGCCATCACTTTATAACCTGGGCACAGTGGAATGGATATAACTTCTAGATCATCATGGATCACGTTAAAATTTATTGAGCTCTAATAGCTAGGTAACTACATACAGGGGAGAAAGAAGACGTGGAGTGATCTGTGTAGAACTACCACTGGGCTACCTTGATTGAGTGAAACCACTCCAGTGATGTCAACTTGAGAGAGTCGGGGCTGGGGGAGAAAGTTGACTTTCTGATGCCACCTTTAAGAGCCCTGAATTCCATAGCATGTAAACACCTCCCACCGTGTTCAGTGAAATTTATTTGCTTATGCATAGGTTTTTCTATGCAGGCATCTGTACTCAGAAATCTTAGATTATAAGCCCCTATGGATAGGGCTTATTGTAGGGTATTTTTACCAGCCCACTAGTGGTCAGTGGCTCAGGCCATGTGTTTGGCTGACCAGGGGCCTCTGGGGCAACTTCCTGGGCACTGACCTGTGGTCCCACTGGTGAAGCAAATGATGCTCAGATCTTCTGGTGCAGGAGGCTGGAGGGGAAAGCACCAGGGCTTAGTCTACCGTGAGTTTTGAAAGTTGAATGTGGAAAGACTCAAATTTGGGCAGAAGAAAACTTACCACGGGTTTTTTGAAGTTCTCTTTGCCTAAATTCTGCATGAACAGGAAACCAAGAAAGAAAGACATTAGTTGAGTTGGGAAGACTTAGGACAAATACAGCCCTCCTTTTCCCTTTTGCTTGAGAACACCTCTGTGGGAATACAACCAAAATTCCAACCTGGATCAGGCCCAGAGGCAACATTCAGGTACAATGGAAGCCTTGGGGTAGAGTATAAGTTTCCTCTAGAGTATCAACTCAAGAGGGCCGATCCCAAATGTCCAAACTTCCCATCAGACTCCTATGGTTCAGTCTTCTAGGACCACTGCTAAATCGTTTCGAATAAAATGAACAGTTAACATTTCAAGGCTTACTACACTTTATATTACTGTCCTGAGCACTTTATTTTCTCTCATATAACTCTTTACAACTCCTCTGTGAGGTAAGAACTATTTCATCCTCATTTTACAGAGGGGGAAAGGAAGATGTGGAGCAACTGGCCCAAGGTCACCTAACTAATGGGGGTGGAGCTGGAACGTGAACCTAGGAAGCCTGGCTCCAGGACCGTATCTTTAACTGCCACCTAGCCTCTGCATTTATAAATCCTCTACTTGGAAGTCTGTGCACACTGACCACAGACCTTCCTCACCCACTGAGTTGTCTTGGGGAAATGATTCCCAACGCTTCACAGCATGAGTGTAATTTACTCTTCTCCTTCCACCCCAGAGAACAACAGCTTGCTCCCTTGTGTAGAAGTCCTGCAAGCTGCCCACAGCATCAGCCCAGCCTTCCAGCTGTGAGCTGACTTTCAGACCCATACCTCAGCATCAAGCAGTGATAAGATCTCAACTCCGCATTTCTCCCCTCTCTTCTTCAGGTCGTCCTCAAAGGGATCCATGAGGATGATCAATTTCAGGCCCGGGGTGAGGCCTTTCTCCACATTCTTAATCAGGGCCAATGCCTTTTGGGGCGTGTCACAGATCACCGTGGCGATCTCAGCTGAAAGCAGAAATAGGGCCGGGGGTTACCCTCCTGCTTTGCTGTGTACCCCATTGTCTTGCAAAGAGGAAGAGATTCTTGAGAATTTCAAAGCCACTGGGTCCCCAAGGGAGATTATGTCTGTAAATCAGATTTGTAATGTATAAAATCTGAAACATTCCACTGATAATAAATAAGCTTAATTGAAACAGAAGCACTTAATTTCCTTGCATGCACTTAACAGTTTATAGTTTCTAGAGGAGCCCCAAAATTCCTTCTGCTTAAGAATACAGACAACGTGTGTGAATCATGTAGATGTGGTCCTGCCGATGTGTTTTACCTGGGGGAGAGGGGAGGAGGGATTAGAAGGTAAAGGAGGAGGCAAGGGGGATTTTAGCAGACAAGCATTTATGATTTTTAATGTTAGCATTTGCTTTGATACTTGTTTACACAAACAGAAACCTTCTGATTATGTCTATAGTTCAAATGGATCTACTCACTTAATCTACTAGTTCTGGGACAGAAAGTAACATCTAGTATATGTCTTATTTGCCCATTGAACTTGAACTTGTTTCTCTAACAGTGGTAATTTGGTCCACAGACTCAGCATGGACATTGGTACATGCCGGTGAGCTATACTGACTTCGATTTATAAGAATAGGAAATTAAACTAGTAGTTTCACAGTGATACAGTCAATTAAAAAGTTATTCACTAACTGTGGCCTTTCATCCAGGGTTGCCAGCAAAAATAGTCTTTGCTAAACTATATTGTCATACTACACTACCTTGAAGCATTTCATTGAAACTTCTATCTGATTATATACCTGCCTCATGGGCTTTTTGTAACTTCCCTCTAAATTATATCATAGGTACTACAGGACAAGAGAGACTTGAGCATTTTTCTGGCCACAGCATTCTAAGTCTGCTAACAAAAACAGATAATGAGGAATTACTCAGCATCAAGAAAGAATCAAGTTAAAATGTAATAGCGACAGGAATAAAGACGCAGATGTAGAGAATGGACTTGAGGACATGGGGAGGGGGAAGGATAAGCTGGGACGAAGTGAGAGAGTAGCACTGACATATATACACTACCAAATGTAAAATAGATAGCTAGTGGGAAGCAGCTGCACCGCACAGGGAGGTCAGCTCGGTGCTTCGTGACCACCTAGAGGGGTGGGATAGGGAGGGTGGGAGGCAGACACAAGAGGGAGGAGATATGGGGATATATGTATACATATAGCTGATTCACTTTGTTATATAGCAGAAACTAACACACCATTGTAAAGCAATTACACTCCAATAAAGATGTTAAAAAAAATGTAATAGCAAAGTTTTACCCTTGTTGACAATGTATATGACGGCGTCTTCTCCCAAGGTGTCATACAGGGGGACAGCTACCATGGAGTATGTGTAACAAGCAAACTCAGAGATGACCCACTGTATGGAGAGAAGTTCAAATAAGGAATAGCTTATGCTTTGAAAAGGAAATGTGCTAATTCAGTCATTTAGTCAACAAATGCTTATTTGGTGGCTCTGTGTTAAAAAAAAAAAAATCACCTTTTTTGTGATGCCCTAGGGACTGCCACTGCTGATGCTATAAAATATAATTAAATAAAGAAGATAAGATAGGTACAGAGACAACTATAAAACAAAGGGAGAGTGTAATAAGTTCTATCCATAAGGGTTATGGAAAGCATTAGGGAGTTTTGAGGTAGAGTCACTCTCAGGGGTGGGGTAGGCTATCTGGGACTGCTTTGGGAAAAGTGACGGAAATTGGGCAGGGCTTTGAAGGACAGGTAGGATTTGGTCATGGAGATGGAAGCAGAGAAGGTATTCAAGGAAGAAGGAAGTGAATGAACAAAGATAGGACCGCATGACATCACTAAGTATACATCAGAAAGCATAAAAAGTGACAGGAAATGAATTGGAAAGGTGGGCTGGAATCTGCTAATGGCGAACCTTGAATGTCAGTGTAGGCATTATGAACTGAATTGTGTTCCCCCTAAAATTTATGTTGAAGCCCTAACCCCATTGCAATTGTTTTTGTAGATAGCTCCTTTAAGGAGGTAACTAAGGTTAAATGAGGTCATAAGGATGGGGCCCTGATCCAGTATAACTGTTGTCCTTATAAGAAGAGAAAGAAACACAGGGGATGGCAGAGAAATGGTCATGGGAGGACACAGCAAGAAGGCAGCCATCTACAAGCCAAGAAGAGAGGCCTCAGGAGAAAACAAACCTGCTGACACCTTGATCTTGAACTTCCAAGCTCCAGGACTGTGAGAAAATTAATTTCTGTTGTTTAAGTCACCAGTCTGTGGTATATTGTTATGGAAGCCCTAGTAGATTAAGATACTAGGTTTGGTGTTAAGTTCCTGAACTAGAGTCAAGGATATCTCTTCTTACTGAGGCTGGGTGTAATGAAGATGAAGTGTGTAGATGCACCTCAAAGTGCAGCCAGGGCCCTCTTGGATTTTTAGTTAAGCAACTGGCTTAGGTGAGCACATGTCATCCAACTCTTCTGAAACATACAAAGGCTTTCTCTGAGGATATTGGGTCTAATGACTTAACTTGAACTTGAAGATAAGCTTAATTCCAATCATCTTAATGTCTAAAGTCTGTTTTCAACTCACTGTGGAAAGATGGCTACAGCTGGTCTCAGTAGCAATGGATGCCTTGGTTGCTAGTTCACGTACAATGTGCAAATTCCAATTCTAGTACAAACTCATCCCTTTCCACATCATCCTCAAGCTCTTACTTGCCAGTCCTTCATAGCTTCCTTATTTTCTTCATACAACAGATTGACTTAAAATGACACATAATGGGAGACATGTAAGAGAAGTCCAGTCACCTAGCAAATAGCACCAGACATTCAACCAGGATTAAAGAAGTCCTGCACTGTAACTTTTAAGTGGAACAATATTTAAAGAATCTGAGGTCTTTAAACAGCTTTGATAAGTCATCAGCAAGTGTCAGAGTGCTGGATTTGGGGTAGGGTTTAAAGTCTTTAGACTTAGCCCTGACTCATTTCCTTGAGTTAATTTCAGCATGGTTACCTCTGGCCTATTCTGAGCAAAGATGCCAACAAAGTGTTCTTGTGATTGCTTATATCCTTTATGCAAGAGATAGGAGCCCAGGTACTCTGCTCGATCAGACACCTACAAGTGAGAGAGGTAAAGAGAGAGAAAAAAAAGCAGTCAAGACCCAAAAGAGATCATATTAGCCCAAGATAACCACATAAGCAAAAGAATTTATCCAAAATCATGGGCCTGACTTACCTGTTTGTAGGACAGCCATCTGTAGGGCTGGTTTCGTTTTCTATATCCCAAGCAAGGCCCATTGTCTAAAAACATAACATTAAATGAAAATCAGCTCCAGTTGCAAATTCTTTGGACCAGAGAAGGTTAAAGGAGGTTAGGAAGAGACAAGACACAAAGGACAAATCCAGTAAAGATGCGAGCTTCTCTTATGTGCCAAGGAAATTCAAACGCAGTAAGTACTCAGTTCTCAAAGGCAGAGGGAGCCTTGCAAACTACATTTGAAACACTTGGGAAATGCTACAAAACAAGGGTGGTTCCATGTTGGAATGTGTGACCTCCATGGTAACAGGCATTTGGGGAAAGCCATGAGTATGGACTAGCCCACGTGAGGTGAACAAGCAAAAGCTCACAAGTAAACACTAATAGACTATATCGGATAATCTCGGATTGAGCTTCCCTACAATGAAAGAAATATATGTTCATAAAAATTTAGAAAAAAATCAAAATACAAGTCATCAATAATCTCATCACATAAACACCATTGTTAAGGATGATATTTTCTTTCATACCTCCTTTGATAGTTCTACAGGGTTATACTCATTCCACATGTATATTTTGGTATCCTGCTTCCTTCCCCTGTTTGATATAAATATTCCCCTGTTATTATTTCTTCTCTGTAGAGATTTCAATGGCCTTATTATGGCCAAGTTATGAAGGGTTCTACTGTATAGCTGAATTTATCTCATTATGGGCATTGAGATTGTTTCCAAGATTGACACCTCAATCTTGGTAATGGTAATGGTATGATGCACATTTTCCAACTGATCATTTCAAAGTTAGAAAATTTTCTTAGAATAGAGTATTTTAAATGAAATAACTGTGTTGGGAAGGGTGGCAGCGGCTGGGAGTGAGGATGGTTGGTCACACGGCTCAGGTTTTTAATACCTGGCCCCACATTGCTTGGTGAAGCAGCTGTGACAATTTGCTTTTCTCCAACCAGCAATATATCAAGTCATAGACACTAAATAGTCTCTTTTTAATATGTCTTCTGGTTAAATAGGTTTTAAAATTTATTGCTTTAGGGACTTCCCTGGAGGTGCAGTGGTAAAGAATCTGTCCTGCAATGCAGGGGATGTGGGTTCGATCCCTGGTCAGAGAACTAAGATCCCACATGCTGTGGGGCAACTAAGCCCATGTGCCACAACTAGAGAGCCCACACGCCCTGGAGCCCGTGCACCACAACCAGAGAAGAGAAAACCCTCACAACTAGAGAGATGCCCATGCGCCACAACGAAAAGAGCCCGTGGGCCACAACTAAGACCCGAAGCAGCCAAAAATAAATAAATAAATGAATAAAATAAAAAATTTTTTAGAAAGTTATTACTTTAGTCTAGGTTTCTTTAACAGCTATTAAAGTGGGGCCTTTCCCCTCATTTGTTAAGTTTTATCTGGTAATGTACTTCGCCCGTTTGTATGAGCGTGTCTTCTGAGATACTGAGACTCATAAAGAACTGCAAGAACACATACACATACGAGTACATACAGGAGCACACGTGTACACACACACATGTATACACACACATGTACACACACACTGGCCATCAAGATTTTTACAACTTACATTTATTGTCTTACATTTGACAATAGAAGAATTACACTTCTGAACATTGAAACTACTCAGCCTTATTTAAAATTACAATAAGTCTGGGAACATCCACTTACTAGAGTAAATAGTCATTGCAGCCACAGAAGCCACGAAAGTCATGATATTTGTTAGGCTAAGGAACAACTCTAACCGGACGAGAAGACCCCACATCTAAGCCAGAATGAGACTGAGTTATTATTTTTTTTATTATTATTTTTTTGCGGTACGCAGGCATCTCACTGTTGTGGCCTCTCCCGTTGCGGAGCACAGGCTCCGGACACGCAGGCTCAGTGGCCATGGCTCA